TGTCGCTGCTTGTTATAGTAAGTCGTTGTCAGCTCCATTCACCGCATAAAGCGGCAAATCAGCGAAGAGCGAATCTTGTATCTATCTACTGTAGCTCGCGCAGATTTGCCATCGCTTTACGCAGAGAAACGCATCGAATAGGTGGGCTATTCGATGCCGAAGACGCTATTGCCAACATGGGAGCTAGCTTTAGAAGGTAAGTGCCTTCGATTTCACTTGAATATGTCTAGCTATGCGTATGTATTCAAGGGAGCTGGCCATTCACGCGAAGTGTTCCAGCCGGCAACAGCTAAGCCACTCCGGTAGCAACTGTGTCTTCTCCTGATACTTCGCTGTTTCTGTTATTGCGATGGTGTGTATTTTGTGTAGCGGTGTTGCTGTTATTATTATTATTATTATGCTCAAGGTGTTCTTGCCTACCCCTATCTGGTTGGGAACGGTGACAGCTACTGTGCCACGAGGTCCATTAGCACGGTACCAAAATTCGAGCAAACCGTACCACTGGCCCATATATTCAGCCCAAGTATATAGTATTCGATTTTGGTGACTGATCCTCGAGACAAAAGAACTGATAGCGCTGCTTGCGTCAGCAGTTCGCAACTGTGTTAACTACGGTTGTTAGGCTGACTCCCTGTAACTGCCTCGGATACATTCGGTTCGAGGGAATATTGGGGACTGATCTAGTCCCTAATTCTTTGCTTTTGGTGCCAGCTGGCAACTGAAACAGTGATAACGGCGCTTGTTTTATAACTGTACCAGCTGTGGGTGTCGCGTCGGTAACGCAGCAATCGCTACGCGAGTGAATATTCGCCCGTAATGATCACCGTCATCAATTGTATTGTAGGGCAACTGCGGTGGCGACAGGCCCGCTCGTGTGTACGCTCTTCCTCGCAGGACGCCGGTAGCAGCAGCAGCACTATCAACAGGCATCTAGACACACGCGAAATCTTGCGATTAGCATTTTTCAGCAGAAAACGTTTTTTGCTTTCTGGTTGAACAAAGGACACTTTCGCCAACATTGCGGACGCTAAGTAAGTGGTTGAATCATTTGTTAAAGCGATTCCTAATCTTTGTCTTTGCCTTTTGCTTTCCTTTTCTTCGAGTCGATTCTATTAAAACAGTCCCATTGTTACTTCTCATCGCTACCACTATGGCGGAAGCAAAATTGCAGAATAGGACACTTTGCCCAGTGTTTTTGTATACCGTATCGCCGAAATCATGGGTAGAAATAGGGTCGTATGATAGCTGAAAAAATGAACTTGGCCTTCATTGCGACAAACATAGGCTTCTCGTACCGCTGACTGTTGCTTCCGGTGAGAACACCTAAAACCATGAGGTGCTCGTTATTCGGCATCCAGCTGTTATAGAGATTGTTTAGATTATGTCAACAGCTATGGCAAAATCATACTATATCCAACAACAACTAAAATGGCGGTCGCGGGTGACTTAGTTCTCCATAAACCCTTAAAATATGACATTTCTAGATATCATTGCAGTTCATTACCAATTGCCTCAAGAGGCTTTGTGCCTTAAATTCAGCTGTTGTATATTGTCGATCAGAAAATATCTGATGTGGACCGAATTTTTTTTATAAAATTAATTCGCAGGCACGAAATCCCTTAGGGTTTAATTCCAGTAGTTTCATTTAGCACTGAAGCGTTAACCGACATAAGGACTGCGTAGAAATTTGCTTTCTATTTGAAATTTTAAAATAAAAACGTATGTGATTTGGCCTTCAATGCTTTGGTCATAGCATCTTTCGCCTTAGCATTTGTGAATTTTTGATGACTGATTATATCTGCAAATAGAGCTCCTCTTATTTTAAGTCTTTACATTTATATAGGATGCGGCCGTTGTTGGACCCTATATAGGATGTCACTTGTGGCAAGTACAGCCGGCGTGTAAGGTTTACCGAACTAACAAGCCAACGAATGAAATCTTGTGTCTCGTGTACGAGTGCTACCCACTAAGTCTCAATTATATCCAGACACGCTATTCTCCAGCTGGTGCTTTTCCTTGCTCGATTGAGTCACGCTGTTGACTGTGTACAATTGTACTGCCTTTTTTTTTTTTTTACTTATTAGGGCAGCTTTACTGTCCGGTCGCTGGCGTTCGATTTTTACCTTTCTTATTAGTATTGCACGTGCTAAAGTAATGGCGCTTTAACTATCTCGTAAGGCCGTCACACCGGTAGCGTAGATCTCAACAATAGATAACCTCATGTTCCAGCTAGAACAGACCGACCCCGCCAAATAGTAACCGAATGCAACGTGGCCAAATAAAGCGGTGGATTGTGAGGTATATGAGACCCTTGCGCATAGTTTGCTTACAACAAGCACTCCTTCTTGTAACACTGTGAAATATTTGGCAGGAGGCAAGGCTGGACTCGGCTCAGTGGCGTCACCGTCGTACAGCAAACAGCAGGTGGCACGTGGAACTCTCAGGATGCGGCGAAAGCTTAGGGCCGTTGTTGTCGTTGAATGTCCTGCGACCGTCCTCGCAGCCTTTGTCTATATTTACTGTCAAAGGCCAGTTGTGTTTCGTTCCTATATGACCTTTCCGCTTTGCAATACAAGACACAAAATATATAATAACCTTCTATGATTTCCCTTTAATTGGTCCGTTCAGACCGAGTGAAAACTTCCATAAATCCGCCATTGACTTCTAGTATACCGCCAGGCTATCACAAAGGAGTCTCATTACGCAAGACTGCAATGTCACCTGTTTCTTATTAAGTCAATGGAGCAGGGGTCTTTGTCGTTCTCGAAACTCCTTCCATTTCAGTTCCGACAGTCACCAACATAACCATCATCTTCATCACCGTCATTGTCATAACTACGAATAGCAACAACGGCGTAAAGCCAATGAGTAACAAGTCGAATTAACAGGCTGTGCTAGCGAGCCACGCAATACACTTAGCTTTGTAATCACTGACTACCTGTCGACTTGGCTGCTCATCTATTCGTCGTCGGTTTCCGGATAGATCTGTGACGAAAGAGAAAGAGCTATTGTCTTCAGGTCGTGTCGGGCCTTCCAACACGCTTTTGCTTCGGCCCGTTGGGTGTGACTGTGTACGTGCGAATAAAAAAAAACAAATCATCCGTGTTGTCTCTTATATTGAACAACGGACCGGATGGCCCATGCATGGATCCATTATTATCCCTTTGTTCTAAATAGAGACGTTGGCTTGAACAACGTACTCAGCTTACTGACCTTATCAAGGAACCTTTCACTTCTCTGAGATTTTGCACTGCTTCATATAGTGCCGAAATCATATTCCTGGCCCCCGGCTATCAGTTAGTCGTGCGTTGATGTACACAACTGGGTCGCATTTCGCCCGTTCAGATGTAGCGGCAATTGTATCGCGTGGTTAAGCTGACTGCAACTGTGTAACGAGATTGGGTCAGTGGAAAGTCCCAGCAGACAGGCCCACAACCCACACCCAAGAACACCCAGCCTTCTCTTCTTTCACCTCTTTATACTGTTGCTACCACTGCGAATTTTAACCCTATGACAGCAGCTTTCGTGACATGCTCGCGGTTCGTAGCATTCGTTTGACGTTCATCAAGATTCCTATTTCACGTGAGACATAAAATTTACAATTGTCTTTATCACAACCCGTTGACTAGTCTATCTCTGCAACGACCTACTCGTCTCGACCATTCGGCTGACCCACCGTCCGAGCGACGTGTCCAATCTGCACGATAAATGCTTCAATGTCGTCTTCGTTGTTATGTTAACGTTAGCAACAGCGACAGGAGCAGGCGATCCGTACTCGCCAGGTGGGAGCATAAAAAAGGTCTGCGTGTCATCTTTATTTCGTCACCAGTTTAGTTTCTACTGGACTGTTGACCTCACTCAGTGAGCACCGTTTCATCCTCTTTGTCTTGAACATCAATCATATTAATAACTATGTTTGACTATTTTTTAGCGGCGGATGATCACGTTTTTGGCTATCCTCAAGATTGAGTGATAGTTCCACAAAGAAAAGAAGGCCTCGGCAATGTGGAACTTCGGCACGTCGTCGGTCTATTTATTTAACCTGATTACCGCGGCTACGAAACAAGAGTTTCCGTGACGAGTAACGATTCCATTATCAGTTATAATAACTTGCCACTTTTTGGTAGACAGCAAGTTCCACCGATACTTTTGAAAGTGAGTTTGTGACTTGAGAAGTTACCACTCTGCCATTCCTTATACGAAACTATTAGGGCTCAGATTTACTTAGTAATCCAGTCAATGAACTGTTATCCTTAGAACGTGATTTTGAATACCTTGAAAGTAACTCCTCCTGCTTTTTTTTCGTATTGATTAAAGGCAACAACATCGTTGGCATCTGCTTCTAGCAATCGCTATAATCTGTTCGTTTTTATTCCTGACCTGAACCCGCGGCTGGGAGATCAAATACATTTTCATTAGAATAGATTTTGTGGCCATTTGTAAAACAATACGCACTTTACATAATTGAAAAGCGATCTACCTATAAATTAACAGTAGCCTCTTAAAAATGCGAACAGGTCCTGTCATCAGGAGCCGAATGTGTCTAGGTGCAGTCCTGGTGCCCGTTTGCAGGCCAACAGATGCCAGTTCTGAGTCTGGAGTTACCTTCGAAATGTTATTGAAGTATGTTATTGACTCCAGGCTTTATATAGACGTGGTTTCCAGTGTGATGTATTGGCGTCGACCATTGATGTCCGGGAGAAAAAAAATCTGTCCTGATTTAGTTTTGCGAGGTCTGTACATTTACTTGTGCATATCATCGATTCTCCGTAGGCGGTCAATGAAGTCCTGCGATGGCCATAAACCTGTCCAAGTTTGTAGACCTTTTTCGTTGCTGTGCTAACGATCCTAATATCCTCACTTCTCATTCAGCAATGCTCCAATCGACGCTCTATCTATATGAGAGGAACTCTTTAATTAATAGCAGCTGCAGCAGATGCATCTCTGTAACTAGTTATAATTAAGCCAACACAGCTAGACAATGTCTGTCCAGTCGAAGCCATTTTGTTCACCATCGTGAAGCGACTTCGGCATTTTCTCGTGTCGTGAAGCAGTAAGCAGCCACTGGCAATAAGCTGAGAACCGCGTGCGCCTCGGCATGGGAGGATCTTGCCTCATCTCATCAATGTTGGCACTTCTGCGCTCTTTAATAAAAAGGATATACGCGCCAACGAAGGTCTAACCGCCTGACCGCGTGCAGCAGCTAGGAATACCTTCATAACAAGTAGGAATTTCCACGGCAAATGGCGCGACTAATAATGTATGAGTTGCGGGTAGTGGTTTTACCGTAGCAGTATGTAGTATATGGCGAAGTCAGTCGAGTCTCGGCGTTGCCTATAGCTCTTACAGCTTCGATTACCAACTGCAGGATTCGTATCCATGAACAAGTGGCGGACGCGGCGACGCACTCTGGAGATACCAATCACAGTTCCTGCGACAACATCAACGACAGTAAGCCAACAAAGATATATATATATATATATGCGCCATCTGGTGACTCGCGAACAGGAGCATAGCGATCCATTAGGAAGCAGGTCATCCAGAATCATACGATAGCAGGTCTTAGTCATACGCATGTTCACTTACCGCATCCGCCATAGCTGTGTCTGTCGTTGTTGTCAGATACTCTTCTTCTTACTGCTGTGTCTAAGCTAGAATACAAAATATATATACAAACACGCTGAATACAGAAGGCAGGGATTATTTAAATAGTACTAGAAAGATTTCCATGTATGTAATTTACGTTAATGGGAACAACCTTATACGGGAATTTTCCTGGATTCATGTAAATAACTTTACCAGTAAATTTGACGAAGCGAGCAAAATTCAACTGATGCCTTAATGGGTACTATTAGTGCCGAGAAAAGACCAGAAAATAGCTTCCCAACTTTAGAAAATAAATATGTCAATCAAAACACAAAAAAAAAACAGTAATGAGAAAACCCCAAGTTAACAATGGCTGTGGACAAACACACGCGCTTTTCTTACCCGAGCTACAATGCTGTGCATCATCTCATGTATTTGGATTTGCATTGAGCCATTGTTGACGCTTATGTATACGTCTTAATCTAGACTTTTTCTCATTAGTTGTTTCTAAGACTGTATTCAGACAAAGACAAATATTTAAATGAAGTGCCAGCCTTTATGGTCATGTTTATTTGGTGCAACCGTACATCAAGCGACACCGATAGGAGAAAACTCGTCGTTCACCTACGTTAAATACTAATAATTCAACCAACATTAAATTTTTGACTAATAGCAAGCCAAACGTCCTAAAAATTCAAGGTCTAAAAACGGCCAAAAAAATTTTAAACATACAAAAAATCGAACGGACTAATCGTTAGGACTTATTTGAAATAGCTGAATGGCTCGCCTTGTGCGGAAAAAAATTTAATAGCTGGTCTTGGCTCAAATTTTTTTTTGTTTTTTCTAGGAATAACTGTTTTTCTCTAGTACTGCGAATAAAAAAAACATGCATGTCCGCTACGTCAAACAGCCCACAAAAGCCTATCCGATTTTGAACGTTCCACACCTGTATATATATATATATATATATATATATATGACGATAACAGATAAAACCCTTTAAAGCGAACACAAAGCCACCTCTAAGTTAAGAAGCATTTCTAATTCTATGTTTGTGGCTGTCCCGTTGATTTCGATTAGTTTCTCTTATTGGGGCCTTACGGGACGCCTGTGTGCAACCACCGTGGAACAACAAGGCTTCCTGATAGGATTTTAGAGGGAATGACATACACTATCACAAAATAGAGTATAGCCGATGTAAACGTATGAGAGCTCGACAAGAGCGGAAATAGATTAAGATGATCTTTTCAGCTTTACGCTACCTTTTCCTTACCGGAAGAATAACAAATACTACACGCGTACGTGTTCGTTTCGAATAGAGGTCGACACCCCAGGTCGAAGACCCACTCTGTCCTAATGATGATGGAGTGAAACAGAATATTGATTATTTTGTTGTTGTTGTTGTTGATGCAATCCAGAACAATTAGTTCGTCCAGACGGTAGCACTCAGACTGCTAAGTAAGTGACCTAAGTTGTAAAGCTTTGTTCCTTTTTCATTGTGAACAGAGCAAGCTTATTGAAATGATGGCCACGTTTTGCCAAGTCATTTATACCTCATAAATAGACATACACCATAGTAGTTAATCTAATATCTCAGATTGTTGACTAAACGTCTCACAGGCAACATCCAGTCCGGCCGTCGACGACGTATGGAGTCATCGTTATTTCGCATGCCCTCCTATGACACCTCGACCGTTGTGTTACGCCTGACATAAGAGGGCGCATTAGTGAGTGGCAAATCTCACCAGAGAGCGCGGGGCGAGCTAAAAGATGCCTGTAATTGCTAGAAAAAAGGAAACTCAAACTTCACTAGCTGCTACCTATATGTCATTTATGCAACAGGAAATACAGAGACAGACAGTATATTACTGTCTGTCTCTGCATTTCCTGTCTATATTAGACAAATAAAGCTTAACACAGGCCGCTATTAAGAAACGGTGGATAGCCATGAACGTAATTTGGCCAAACTATGAAGGACGCCAGTACCTACCGAGGCAATATTCTTCGCGGCGATACAGCGACGGTCAATAGGCTGTACAAAATTTCCAATAACGAATCCAAGGACGAGCACAATCTCTTACCTCTTCTTAAGACATACGTTCTGCTTTTTAGAATAAGGAAGACGGCGTGATGATTGAATGGTGCGACGCTGCCACAGCTTTGTCACTGTCGATAGTGAAAGTAATTAAACTAATAATTGGCGGCATACAGATAGGCACTTTTCTCAGAAGTTTCTACTGAGAATTTACATTGATGCCATTTTTTTACCTTTTTTTTTGGCAACAAAAGCCGCCCTTGGAGTGGTTTGAGCTGTGTAATTGTATTTGAAAAACGTAAAGCTGAGTGGTTCTAATAAGTGAGCGTCGCTCTATTCACGTAGAGGCCAACTTTTCGTTCCATAAATGTGCTTTTTTTTTTTTTTTTTTGTAGAATTCTGTGATCAGCGAGTACGTTAGTGCTGTTACGGCAGAGCCAAATCTATCAATGAATTACATATGAATGTCAAGCCAGCCCCGCAAGGTAAGACTTACGTACGGCGAAAGGGAAGGGAACTGGCAGTTTTTTACGTGAGCACATGAGACACAATGAAAAAGAGAAAGCTTGACGAAAGGTAATAAATTGGGTAAGCCGCAGGATCAAGCCAAGCTTTACAGATGTACGTAGTAAAAACACGCAGCGCGTAGCGTAAGTAGCAAAGCTTTGCGCTCAAAGAGATCAGTCAGAGGGCGCTGCTGCAAGTGTTCCTAACGGCGTACGCTACACAACCTGTGCCTTCTAACCCACCAGCGACCCTCCGACCGATCGCCCGCCCGGCTGGCATCAATTTCATGTCATCACCGTACGAAGCGGCGATGGCGACGGCGACGGCGACGGCGGGGTCTTCTCCGCCGTGTTGCCTTCACGCAGACAGAGGCCGGGAAGATAAGATCGTGGTGCAAATGGGGTGGTAAGTCTTTTTTTGGATATATATATACAGTGTATCTGGCTAATCAGCCTATAGTAATTGTGATCATGCAGGAAGATTATAAATAATTACCCATATTCACGTAGATGTAATACCTGTTCCCAAAGCATAATTAAGTCACGGCGTAGAAATGGATATCGAGAGGTCAGTAACACACACACACACACTGTTGAATTTTATTGATATGAATAAAACAGTTAGGCACGAATGATCTTCGTAAAAATGGCTGCAGTGTTAGACTAACTCAAGGTAATGTTGACTACGTTTTATATCCTTAAGCTTTGTAAAATACCCAGTTCGTCTGCTGAGAATACCTTGAAGGAGAGGTCAATAGAGCTTATATTTACTAATAACTGATGTACGTCTTATCATTGATGACATAGTTTTTACTCGAATTAGCCGTGTTCCTTCATTGAAAACATTAGTGTTGCAAGCATGTTGACAGTATTCGAATCTTTATCTGTACTTTCTTTAAATGGGTTGACGAAATCCGTCTCATTTGCCTTGACAATCATATGTACCGAAAGTAATTCATCAACGATAGATTGCCGGTGACGAGCCTACCTAGTGGACCCTAATTCCCCAAATTAGGTCGTGCATAACAGATCTGAGTTATCCTGTTGCATGCGTTAGTTTACTATGTTTCCTATCGATAAAAAGATTATCTCTATAATGTGGATAGCACACGCCATTGCTGCTGGTACGGATCACGCGACCAGTAGATAGCAAGGCAGTGGTCGACGTGCTAAACAGGACAGTACAACTTCGGCCTTCATTATGTACATTCCGCCCTGACTACGGTGTGGTGTCACGCTGTTGAGGCGTAGGGATGGGGTGGCAATGATGATCACAGTGAGTGATATATCGCGCCGCCACACGCCTCTTAATTGTACATATTTCTCTCACGACGGCAGCGGTCTCTTGGTCCACTTATTTAACCTCTGTAATCTGCCTACTACGTATATTAGGATCTCAAATAGGCTGCAGCCTTTTTTTTTCAACAATAATGCTGGCTTACAGAGGTATAACGTTATGGTAATATTTTTGAGGCCGAACGACGACAGTCATTCGACCTGCACACTAACGAACAGAACCTTCAACGTACAACGTTCATCCACTTTTATCCGTAAGCACTATTTTATTTCTCGCCTTATTTTTGCCACTCACATACGAAACGTTGTTTTACACTGTTATCTTGTCATTTTCCTGAATTTCCTCAGCCGACAGGCGAGTTCAAACCTCCTGAATCTGAGGCCCAGTTCTGAAGTAAAAATTTGTTGATCATTACTTTTAGTAGCCTTGTCGTGTTATCGCCGCCTCTATTGCCGTTGTTTACTGCAGCATTCTCACCGTAGAGCTTCGACCTATTTTCCCTGTTTCAGGTAATAACCCGTCATAGTATTGATCGAGTCTTGCGCTGTATTATTGCATCAGCTTGTTTTAACGATTCTATCATATCGCTTTAGTTTTACAATTGGGTGGTGGTCATCTTGCACAGCGGTCCATTGATATTAAGCCATTACCACCATGTAGGTTGTAAACAGCGGGAAGTTTCAACGACAAACTCGTGGAGCAAACAAATTGTCGACTTGTTTACTCTGGATAGAACGTGCTCGACTCCACGGCAGAAAATCAAGCTAAAAATATGGTCTTCCTGCCCGTTTTTGCTCGACTCTGTAAAGCGTTGTTGCTAAGTTCTAGTTTGTTCTAGTGTCCAATCACTATCTTACTTCTATACCTTGGTTTATTTTTTTAATCAAGATAAGCTGGCACGAGGCCATTCACTTACGTATGTTTGAGAGTAATTGAATTTACAAATTTTCATATCAATGACGCTTTAGAGAAACTGAACCCCATTTTGCCAGGAAACGCAACGATCACTGTACATTTTCCAGGCGTTTTTTGAGAACACTTTCAATATGTTGCACAGTAGGACGATCTTTGTTTGTTTGTTTGTTTGTTTTTAAACTTACCTATGTGTAAACGAAGTGGAGTTTTTTTTTCAAGGGGTATTCACCAGACTGTGAAGCTAAAATAATATTTCTTACAGTATATGCAATCTAGATTGGTTTTATTGCTATTTGATTTGATACTATTTTTAGTAGCGGGGCAACCGTGTTCTTCCTAACAGAATTCCAAATCAGAAAAGTTATGTTTGAAACTCTGCACGATTTAATTCGGCACTGGTTGCCGTTGGGTCAGAAGGCAACAAACTAAGGACTAATTTAATTAGCATGGCATTAAAAAAAAGCCCCCTTGATCCAAACAAGTTTCTACCTGTGTAATATTTCCAGAAGTCTATGAATAATAAATAGATAATTCTAATTACTGTTTGATCAATTGTTCCCTAATATGCGTCTACGTTATAATGTATAAGTTGGGACGGATGATCAGATGACTCATTTCAGCCATTGTCACTCGTGCGCGTAGGGTTAGCGTTCGTTAAGAGATTTATTACTTTCCTCTTTTTTAAGCGATTACTTTCTATATGCTTTCAACGTTATACAGATATAGCTCGTCTTCGTCCATTTTCAAAGAACAATATATTGTCATATACGGTACGCTCTGATATCAACTCGCCAATTTCATTCCGGTTGTTTCCCTGACCGCGCAGCGAATAACGTGTTTACATAATGGATAGAGAGAGACGTTACGATCCAGACGTAGACACGTATCGTTCATTCGGGTAGGAGCAAACCCTGTGCACTTCTATCTAGGCTCTTAAAGGCCGAACGTAAACAAACAAATAAGTTAGATCCTTCTGCAATTGTTCAGCGATTGACTATAATCTCACGCCGTCTGACGTCTGTGCCACAGTTCTTATGTACCAGCTCATTGAAAGTAATTAAAATAATTCTCCGCTTGATAAAATAACAAATTTCTTCTACCATATAAAAATATACGTCAACGCTTACCTAGCTATGAAATAGTACAACTGCTTATCTGAGCCTGGACCTATTGGACCCATAGTTTGGGCCGATACTATCGGTATCCACTTTTCATAGCAAGCTAGCTAGTTTCAAAATATGAACATCGCTGAATCTTGTTACGCGCAACCATATTTGAAAGTTAAATTGATCAGACGTATGCGATCAGTGACACCTTAACGCTTTAGTGAACTATGAGCGAATTTTCAACTCACCTCGACAATCAACGCCATTTTAACGTAGCGTAGGGAATCGAACCCGCGTTGTTTCGCTACCAAATTAAAGACGAGTGACTTTACCAAGCGACTGATCGCTCAGAAGTGTCACCAGAGACATCAAATTGTTCTCTCTTGCTATCAGATCAAAAACTGAAGTAACTACTTCTCGTAAATTGATCTATGGCATAGCTTTCAACTATACTTTCCATAACTGTGGGTGAACAGTTAATCCAACAATGTACGGCGGCTGGTAACTTCTATGAAGTTACCAGCTCAAGAAGACAATCGGCAACAAGACACGCTAAAATGTCACGACGGGCCCTATTAGCGATAAGCTAATGGGAGCCGTCGTGTAAACAACCGAAATCAACCATTGAAAAATTGAGCATTTCTACCCCGGCCCGCTGATAACAATATAATAAGAATAATCGCATCCAAAGGCACGTTGTGTCCCTTGCGTTGGCTACCCCATTGGTGTTGGGAGTGAAGTGGCAGGACAGACAGCGGATCGCGAGAAGCTTCGATACAGCGTGTTCGACGTGAAGAAGGAGCGGCCACAGTAGCGGCAAAATACCTCCGCTACAAGCAGCATCAATGGGGGAGACCCATCGAAGGAACTGCGAAAAAAAGGAAGGAGGGGAAAGAAGAACCGGCACCATCCGAGCTGGGATGTGGCCAGGTGGGAGGGGAGGCGAATTCCAACAAACTTCACGCGCAACGACGAGAGATGAACAGGCCATTTTTAAGATAGCAGTGCAATCCTCTCGCTACTCCTGCTGTTCCATTGCCGGATTGTTATAGCCTGTCATTTTCGGAATCGTTGCTGAGCGCCGCTGTCGAAATCACCGGAGACCAATCCGACCGGCTGCCACGACAAGTCGATGCTTCCACCGCTGCCACTTCGCGATCCAATGCCGCTCTTCAACATCTGCCCTTCTTCCTGCGCGTCTTCCACAGTGAGAGGCTATGGTCGCTCAAACTGGCAGTTTCCTCTGCGGCGGCGGCAACAGCTGCAATGCTGGTGGTTTGCTGCTTTCTATGCGGTGTCAGCTCACCAAGTGAGACGTTACCGCCTGCTCGCGCTAGCCAGCTAAACTAACAAGTGACGTCCACCCCCTCCCCATGCCCCGCCCTCACTCTGGCTTGCCTCTCAACAACGTTGACGTTAGAATACCTCAGCAGCAGCGGTAGAAACACCAATAGCACCCTTCATCTTTAGCCATACGCGACACAGCAACAGATCTCTTTCAACCAGTTACTTGTTCTAAATATACATATATATATTTGACACACGCATCACAAATATACGACATGCACAACCGAGAAGGAGAGAGAGATAGACATTTAACATTTTTCGAACGGACGGACGGACGGACGAGCGAAGGAAATGTCGGTCGGCTCCGGGAAACTTTGTTAAAGAAATAAAGAAAAAACGGCAATAGATATGCGGCCGTGATGCCTGCGGTAGAAATGTATCTATATAGAAATATAAATATATACATTTCTGATGATCTGGATTACTTCGGAGGCCGAAACTAGATAACAAGAGAATGACGACGTCGGCGATGACAGCGGCGCCGTAAACGCCAACAACTCGTTACCGAATACGTTGTTCTCTATCAATTAGGCACCACATATATGATTGACATATCGATTGAGGGTTAGTCAAATGAAGTAGCTAACAACCTGAGTCGAAGTTCGGTTGTAAGATATGCACAAACGGCCCAGTAAATTGGGTGGTCGCGGCCTGTGTAGAATATCGGATTTCTGAGCGTGTTTCGCTGAATTTTCTAGTCGTCTGGACAAGTATTCTTATTCATTTATTCTTCACCCATAAATTACGTAGGCTCGTCTCGACGCCACGTTCATCATATGTAACGAGATAGTCATTCCTGAAGCAATGCGCAACAATTACGTAGCGTTTACGTTGAGTTGATAATAGTCTGCTATAGAATCAGACAGGTGGAACGTTTTAAGGATTAGTCGAATGACCCTCTTCTAAGAGACAGTGTAAGGCGTCGCTATACTCTGCTCGAGAGTGCGTGACATAGTCACGGTGGATCTGAGCAGATGCTTGCATATCTGTTGAAGGCGTATCTAGTGCAATCACTTACGAATCCTTCGTTCGAGTAGCGCCATCTGAACTCGTGTAATAAGTGAACAAATGAGAGGTAAGTTTATTAAATCTAATTTAGTACGTTTAGTAAGGGTAAAAAAACATCGATCCATGATCCAGTTGCACTCTGCCATCAATATGCACATAAACGAACGGTGTCTGTTAGCGGGTTCTTCATCATTATCGATATACATAATAATAATAATACTCTATACGCTGATGCGATGGAATTTTTATGTATTTTATTATATTTATTGATAGTATTTACTGAAATGGGTTACATCCACTGGCCTGGAAGTATAGCGCTTCAATGGTCACCACACAAATTGGACCGTATTGAAATAAGCTAATGCCGACATGTGTATCGCCATATTTTCTTTCTTTTAATAATCTTCTAACTGGTTTTCTATTTTTGCAATTTACCCCTCGACGGACATCTGTAGGATTCAGTACGAATCGCCGCTGAGCACTTCGAAGCGACAAACTAGTAGCTCTATGAAGAGACAGGGCAGGCGTCTTGAAAGATTGCTCTGTACGTAATCCTTTATGATACAGAACGGCCAGCGAGTTTCAACAAAACTAAACTAAAAACAAAAAAGGATTTACCATAGTAGCGAGAAATATTATTCTATCTATGTTGATGATACGTGTAGATTTTACCTTTTCCTCGATCCAGAGCTTTGTTGGCACAGACTCTACACGTATATACCCGTAGAAAAAAAAGATCGATTTCACAATTAACACAAATGTATCATAATCGCATACAAATTACAAACGTCCTAACCCTGTTTGGATCCGAGACCAGGTTTCGTGAATCCTAAACTGTCATCCATTGTCACAACGGATCTTTGTTGTTCTGAGAATTACGCGTTTCAAATAGGAATCTATGTGCTTGATTTAGCTGAGCGTTCGAGACAGTTACTTCTATTACTAAGGGACCAAGAGCTAATAAATACGCTGATATTATTAGGACGCTAATAAACTTTTTTTATTTGTGTAGCGGATCACAGAACTAAACATAACGTGTTGAACTGTAGAAAACTTGCGTTCATCTGGCCGTCATTGATGTCATTCAACGCTGCCTTAAGCCTAAAAAGACTGAATAATCAGTCAAAAACGGTCCTGTTTTTGTAAGTAAGGAGAAGGATATTTCTTACCCACACGGTATTACCTGTTCGGTATATTATACTTCCTTTACACTAGCTGTTTTTGCTATGATCCAGCTAGTTCTCCGGTAAAGTATTTGTCTTCAGCCGCGAGCTATACTATGGCATGATTATACGGGAACGTTAAGACAGTGTGACATTTTCACAACCTCGATTAAGTCAGCTTATTGTGCCCCGGTATAGCGTCAGCTTACTCTGTACGAAAGTCAATGAGAAACGTCGGGGTTTGGCCGAGTTCACGTTTTTGCCCTCAATATATCGCTACGTCGGAGCGCCCTCAATCGCTAAGCTCACTAGTTGAATAGTAATGGTCAGCATTGAAAGCAAGCGGTTTATGATGCAAAAAATAAAAAAATATATATATTATTAAATAGATCAGGGGGTACACGCACTCGCTCGTAGCAGGAGGCGAAAGGGTCAGACATAATGGTTCCGGACCAGCTCTATGTAGTCCACCGGTAAGCTAAACGCTGTCCCGAAGCATGAAAAACTTTTGAGGGATAACTTCATGAGAAAATCAGTCCCTGCTGACTTTAACGCTCGTTGGCCGCGGCGCATCTGTAGCGAAGTGCGAACGCTGGCAGTTTCGTCAATTCAACGCCTGTCGTGATTGCATTTATTATCAAATTGATAGTGCCAGAGGTAGTCTTCCTCGCATCTGGCGAAATCGGATGCTGAAAGTCGAGGTAATGGAAGAGTTGTGAAATAGGGACTAATCATCTAATCGTTTCCGTTTAAGTTTCGTTTAATCCACACACGAATATATAGTCCCGGTACTCTATCAACCGCTGAAGCAACGCTGATGGCTCGAACGAACTGCGGAAGGTTGTCGTGGTAAGACGTCATTGTCGGGCGACGCAAAATGCAACTTCTCT